CCTCCCACAGACTGCCCGCACCTGCCCTGGTCTCTGCAGGTGGCTCACTGGGCCAGTTCTAATGCCTTTCTTTTCACATGCTCTTCTGCCTTGAAAAACTTTCAAGCTGGTAAAAAAGAGTTCCATTGGAAGGAGGTCGCCTCTGTACGTCGGGTGGGGAGGGTCCGGCCTGAGGGCCATGAAGCCATTTGGTTGGGCCCTGCCGAGGCATTGGGGGTGAGCTAATTAAGGGTTTGGCCGATAACTGCAGGCTGGTTTTTGTACGTAGCAGTTGATAGTTTTGTGTGGCCCTCGATTCATGTTACAAATATCCATATGGCCCTTGGCGGGCAAAGGTCCCACCCCTGGTGCAAGGAGTATGCCCGATGGGAAGAGAGTGCTAGGAGTAAGCTGTGAATTGGGATCGGATTGAAACTCTGAACACATTTGTGGGAACTTTGTTTTATGTTCCATCTATGTCTGTAAATCGTTCCTATTAAAGTCAGCTAACCAGAGGAGGGACAGACGTCACCCAAGAGCTTCAGCCGTCACCGTCGTTTTGCCTCCAAGCTTCCTTCCCCCTCCTTCGCCCTCCCCGTTCCCACTTGCCCAGCCTGTCCCGTCCAGGGGGCGGCTGGACCTTCCCGAGGGACCAGGTGTTCATTTTTGGTCTTTGTTTTAAAGGTATTATTACAGCTGCTACTTTTGTTATCAAACACTAGCCTGTAATTCCAGTCAAAACATTTGCCATCAATAAAAACAAAGACCCCCTCTCCCGGTGTAATTATAATGTGAGTCCACACAAGTAGCCTGTTCGTCTCCGCATACTCACTCAAAAGGAGACCTTCAGCACAAAACTGTAAGAATCTATAGATCCGAGTCAATGTTAACATATACTTTTTTTTATTAAATATGTAAAAAGATAACCGCAAGTCCAAGTTATTCACATATTCAGCGACAAAAGGCTAGTCTACCATGCGACAACGGTGGGCAATGTAAAACGAATGTGATACATCTGATAAGACCTCTCCCTCTATTATGTCCTTACTTAGCTCTATTTATAATGAACAATACATCTGTTTACATTCCTTTCAGTTTACATTTCATACATAACCAAAGCTTTCTGGTGTACTGTGTGGTAAAGTGATCTGAATGCGTATGAACTTGGCGGAAGAATGGCGGTACTCACCAGGGAAGGGGTCCTCCACTCCCTTCTGGCGTTGACTTCTCTCGGGTCAACAGCGTGTTTGTCTTTTCTGCTTTTCTGCTTAGCAGACAGGCTCTTGGCCCCCAGCTTCGGTCACTTCCTATCTGACACGAGTCGTGGAAGTGCTATGACCAGCCACGCGGGTGTGAGGGAGGAGAGGGCGCACACCAAGGGTGACCGCTCAGCCAGCCTGCGATGGGGAGGGGATGAGGGGGTACGGCCATCGGGAGGAAGGAGCAGGCCTGGCCCACGAGAGGTGGCCTGCACAGAGCCGGGGTGCAGCCACGCGGCTGGGAACCAGCTGTTCAAGAGTCCCCAGGTCTCCGCGGGGTGGGGGGGGGGCAGGAGGAGGGACAGAGCTCTCCCCTACATGGGTGAGGAGTGTGCTCCAACTCTGGGGAGGGGAGTGGAGTGCGGTGACTGGGAAGTTACCTTTGCAAACTACCTGGCCAGTGTGTTTACAGCGGAGCTGGGGCTGAGGGGGAGATGGCGCGGGTGCAGGTCGCACAGCCATGGCGTGCACCGGCTGTGTCTGCAGGGCTGGCAGGAAGCTCCAGAGGAACCCTGACGTGGTCTGTATGGAATTACTCAGCGCCTCCCTATGAAAGCTGGTTTAAAACAAGGAACCTGTGTACAACAGGCTGGGGGGGGGGGCGTTAGGCATGAGCTGCGTCTAGCACCACCACCACCTGGAACAGGTGCGGAGGGCGTCACTGCCGAGGGCCAGGCTGCAACCCGAGCGGAGCTGCCGCAGCACGGAGCAGCAGAGAGGAGGGGGGAGTCCATCACCCGGGATGGTCCAGGCCCGCAGTGTGCTTCCTCCTCACTGCGGCCACTGCTGCAGGGGTGGTCTGAGACGGCTGCTTTCGGCGGGAAGCATCAGAGGGCCGTGCAGCATCTCATCAGTAAAGAAATGTCAGCGCGTTATGACACAGAGCTGAGAAATTTATTGTAAGCTTTTCCGTGAGGAGGCAAGTGGGTGGGCACACTGTGTGCTGTTGGGTTGCACCTACCAAGTCAAATGCCAAGTGAAGGTGAATCTAAAGTTAGGAACCGAGTGCAATGAAGGATCCGGGAGGGGAAACCATCTCTCAAAGGGGAAAAAAGGAGGCAAAGATACTAAGAAAATGTGCAAATCTTAGTTAAAAAAAAAAAAGGAATGCTTCTAATTCATCAATGTTTCCTCGG